AGGTTGCAAAGATCCCCATGATTCTCTACCACAAAGAAAAACAGCATGACACAGTGCACTACGCCACCTTTGTGTGAAAATATGAGTCACATTTGCATTGTCATGCATTCTTCTTTGTACATGTTTATGTACAAAGAAGCTCTGGAAGGACACATAAGAAACTAATAACAGTGATTATCTTGTAGGGAGTGGTGAGAACTGAGCAGACGGGTGACAAGGCTGCGAAGGAGACTTCTCACCACAGAACTCTTTTTTGGACTAGATGAAAGTATCAGGTATTCAACGCCTGTAACCCCGGCACTTTGGGAGGCTGAGGCAGGTTGGATTACCTGAGGTCAGGAGTTCGAGACTAGCCTGGCCAACATGGTGAAACCCCGTCTTTACTAAAAACACAAAAATTAGCTGGGCATGGTGGTGGCCGCCTGTAATCCCAGCTACTCAGGAGGCTGAGGCAGGAATTGCTTGAACCTGGGAGGCGGAGGTTGCAGTGAGCTGAGATTTGCACATTGCACTCCAGCCTGGGTGAAAAGAGTAAAACTCTGTCTTAAAAAAAAAGTATTAGCTACTAAAAATGAATCTGAATGGTCTTATACGTCTTTATTGATCTGGTATAGACTTACTTACAAGCCCCTACAAATCACCAACCCCCAGCCGATGATTCCCACTCTCTTAGGGGTACATGCCCACCCCACTGGGTACACACTATCACAGGAGGTGCGTGTCCTGAGACAACACACTTGTGGCCTGGCCGCGTGAGTGTCCAGGGCCGAAGGCCATGCTGGGCCTTCTCTTCCCTTTCCTTCCTCGGGGGCATCCAGCCTTACTTAGCTGGGCTCACATCAGGACTCACCCAATCATCCAGACATGGCTGTGGCCCCCCTTTGCCTTGCACCTCCAGAGTGTCAGGCAGGTTGAAGATCTCTGCCCCAGCCATATGTGTCTGTGGCACGTGCACATGCACAATCACATGCACGCAGCCTCGCACACAACATGCACTTGTAGGCACACAGGCACACCCGGCACATGCAGGCCTGGATGCCTCAGCCACAGGCAGGAGCAGGGCATAGACAGGCCTGCATGACACCCAGGAGAGGAGGAGCTGGAGGAAAGGAGGGAGCTCCCCATCCCTGGGCTTCCCACCCTGGGCTCCTCCATCGCTGGGCTCCTCCATCCCTGGGCTCCTCCATCCCTGGACTCCTCCATCCCTGGGCTCCTCCATCCCTGGACTCCTCCATCCCTGGGCTCCTCTATACCTGGGCTCCCCTCCATGGGCTCCTCCATCACTGGACTCCCCCATCACTGGGCTCCTCCATCCCTGGGCTCCTCCATCCCTGGACTCCTCCATCACTGGACTCTTCCATCCCTGAGCTCCCCTCCATGGGCTCCTCCATCCCTGGGCTCCCCTCCCTGGGCTCCTCCATCCCTGGGCTCCCCTCCCTGGGCTCCTCCATCCCTGGGCTCCTCCATCCCTGGGCTCCTCCATCCCTGGACTCCTCCATCCCTGGGCTCCTCCATCCCTGGACTCCTCCATCCCTGGACTCCTCCATCACTGGGCTCCTCCATCCCTGGGCTCCTCCATCCCTGGGCTCCCCTCCCTGGGCTCCTCCATCCCTGGGCTCCTCCATCCCTGGGCTCCCCTCCCTGGGCTCCTCCATCCCTGGGCTCCTCCATCCCTGGACACCTCCATCCTTGGACTCCTCCATCACTGGACTCCTCCATCCCTGAGCTCCCCTCCATGGACTCCTCCATCCCTGGGCTCCTCCATC